GGACTGGGGTTACCAGACTTGGGCTATGATTTGAATTTGGGTCTTAGACTTAGGTTAAGGTAACGGTTACGTTCGAGTGTTCCTTAAATATCTACGAGCTACAGATTTTCCATTACAGGCATGACCATGGTTGGCGTTAGATTTGTAACTACGGTATCCCCAAGGGGGTTACATACCTTACCCCTGCCTTCTACTGAATTAATAATTTCAGTGTCTAAGTGATGTTTTTTTGACAGACTTGAATAATCCATTTGACACAGTTGTGAAAACCTCGGCGGCAGCGTTGAGTCAAAGGAATTATTAGGATCGGCCAACACAAAGATTAAGCAAATAGACCTATTAGTCATTCTGGTGGATTCTAGATTGATTGCTTAGGATACCCTACCTGGGCATTCAACTTGCTGTATCAGAATTGGTGGATTCCAGACGTTTCTGTAGGCTGGTCAGGGAACTCGGCTCACAACCTCCGATGGGGCCTAGTAGCTTAGATGCTAGAGCACTGACTATACTCAAGCCTTGCCCTTGCTGCAGTAGGTTCAAATCTCACCGAGGCCGCGGAGTTTTACACAAGTGGGCCGGATGAATACTAATGATCCTTACACTAATATTCTTACGACTGTCAGCAGTAATGAAATTGCTAATGCGTAAGCAACACCCACGACGAGTACTAAGATTTTAAATGATACTGTTCCTGTCACTGATGCTGCTGTTACTGCCGTGAGAGTAGCTTTTTTTAAAGCTTCTATTAGTAATGATATAAGACCTATCACTACTGTCAATGTAAATACCAGTATCATTGATACTCCCAAACTACTATGAGCATCGGTACGGATGTCGTCCTGGCCAGTCTTCGTACATCAATAGGGGTGGGTTACATCAAGGTTGAGGAGGGAGGAAATAAAATGGCCTCGGATACAGTATTAAGAGTGAATCTAAATCAGAGAAGAGATTTACAAGAAGGCTGAAAATATTGCCAAGGAGAAGACAGATGAGTTTGGGGCGAGTCGGCGGGCGAACCCGTAAAACGTCAGTTCGCACTGCGGAGAAGGTCCACGTGAAGTTGGGAATCTACTCGGTTTTTATGTAAACCTCG